TAACAATAACATGTTTGGATTTTCCATTCAGATTTCCATTCAAAGGCTCGAATCATAGACAGGATACCACTTCCCATGCCATGATGCACCTCTGGACCTATCACACTACACAACTGTGAGCCGTGCGGCCACAATAGGTCCGTGCAGCCGCAAATCCAGACCAATCACCTACAGCCGTGGACTATCTTCATATGTTCACTCAGAACTCTGAGGGGTCGAAAAACTCTTCACAGAAGACGAGAACACATAGAGGGGCATATACCCAAACATGGATTGTATATATGATATCATAATCATAACTATTGAAACTATTGTGATCAGCGGTTGAACATGGTTTAACATGGTTTGACTATAATGCTATCAGTGATTTATCAGTAATAGTAATAGATGATAAACCGCTGGTTCCCGAAAACTTCACCAATCGTGCCGTAAAATTTGACCAATGATCGTCCTGCGTGCAATTTTTCAGAAACCCCAAAGCCATCCCCAGAACCATCCAATGCTTCATCATGTTTCTAAAAATACTCCGGGGTAAAACTAAGATGTGGAAAACCCATGGTTTTCCCAGAAAACGATCTACAAATAATGGGTTTTCCACATGTTTTTTTTGGACTCCATGACTGGTGAGTGCTCGAAACATCACCATCCACCAGCTGGGCGCGATACTCACCTCATCAACCGCCTGGTCAAATGATGGTCGAGTCATGTAGAGTCAATGTGCATCCCACTTGCTAACTGGATCGCAACCTATGTGATACTGTTATACACATGCTACTAATCATAAACATTCAAATGTGTATATATATAATATATTATATATACAGTATATATCATAAATGCACCTATATCTGTATCTAAATATATACATATCATATCTATGTATCTATTACACTTAAAATCCATGTTTGCATCCCGACGTAGTACGTATATTAAACACTAGTAGTTTACAACATAGTATATAGAAGACTTGGAAAATCCCATGAACATGCCGTTGAAATCACCATCATTTGCAACGCTTAAAGCGTTAAAGCACGTGACGCACGGAGCGACTGTGGCGTTTTTTGGGGGAGCCACTGTGTCTTGGGAGAACAATCTCCGGTAGAAACTACTGACAATATAACAGATTAATGAGGGAAAATCATGGTTATATAATATCTATTAACAATAGTTAATATTGGGTTCATGATGGTTATATCATGGGATGTCAATGGGATGATTATATACCCTCCAGTGTCATCAAACATGGCTGAAAAAATATCCTAAAAATGGTGGGTTTTGATGGACAACTCATCTATAGATGGGGGATGTTCCCTGGCCATGTTTGATTTACCAAAGGGTAATATATGGTTATGGGTCAAAACATTTCAAAACCCTGGTACCCTATAGGTACCCTACAAATACTGGTGAATTAAGTGGTGAATGGGTGCTTATTCCCCAAATATGGCGATCATTTGTTTCACCCAATTTTGCCGGATCATGGAGTGTATAATTCAGCATTTGCTCGCCTGCAAAAACAAGGAGGGGAAACGAAAAACAAACAAACACACCAACAATCAAAGAATAACTATGTTTTCATACAATATGAATACAATATGAATACAAATGTATGTATGTATGTATGTATGTGTGTGTGTATGTATGTATGTATGTATGTATGTATGCGAATATATGCGATGATATTCTATTTTATCATTTCACATCCTCGCATCCTCACAATCCACATTAATCCAGCACAAGCAAGGTTCGTCATCTGCTTTTTTTGGCACCACGCCACAGCCCTGTACACTGAACAAATCGGGTCGGCATCTACAGCCCTTGAGAGCTGGATTACCGTCCGTGCCTAGCCGCTCAAGAGCCGAAAAGCATCAACAAAACAACAACCGTTTCAAGGCCAAAGGACTAAATCCCACTACCATCTGGTAATTTAACAGTTTGCTAGTGAAAATAACAATCTTTAGTGGATGTACCCATGAAACATGGTGATTTTTCCATAGCTATGTTAGTTTATCGGAGGGTATCTGAAGGTTTAAAGGTGTTCTATTTGCATGAAAAGCTACATAGAAAAAAACAAACACAAAACAAACCATCATATACCATATGCACCTGGCATCGTGAACCCCTTTTTTGGGCGGTGATTTTGTGGCTGAAATAACATGTCCCGTAAAAAGCGACTTTGACCAAGACAAAAATGTTGCGACTTTAATGTTGGTCAAATCCAGCAAGCTCTCCGAGTGTCCCTGTCTGGTCCTGTATCAATCAATCAGCTTCTGAGTGCATTGGGTGGGCTATGGTGGGAAGCTACTTGGTGGCTCATCCCACTTAGTAAGTGGGTTGTAACCCCAGTTATAAATGGGATAAGTAAGGTTAATCCACTTATGACTGGGGTTATAACCCACTTACTAAGTGGGATGAGCCACCAAGGACTCTCTTTTACATGGTTTAACCTGAACAGCTGTGAATCTTGGAATCGCAAAAGGATCATCGTGGCGCGAACTCGGCATTTATCGACGTATCATCGATTGGGACAGTCGTGTCATGCGAGGAGTCAATCTGAGTTTGCTATTGAAAATGGCCCATTTATAGTGGATTAAGGTTACCCTCTGGTTATGACTAACTTCCTAACATAGCCATGGCATAGATGGCCCTAATCGAAATAGATGGTTTACCCATTGAACATGGTGATTTTCCATCCTTATGTGTCCAAAGTCACTTGGATCTGAAACATCCGACCCCGCTGCCCATGTGGCACAAATCTGGAACATGACCCCGCTGGTGATTGGCGACTTGCCATATGTGCTACCTTACCCTCCAGTAATTTGACATAGCTATGGACAAGAATATAACATAACACAGTTTAACTACATAAAATAGGTCAACCATCCGACTTAACAGCACCTTTCCATATAGCTTTGTTAGGTATTGTTCAATTACCACAAGGTTATTGATCATATATAGGCCACGGTCAAAGCATGGTATGGCTGGGCTTTGACGTCATCTAGATTGTTTGGCCCCCTACAGCAGCTCTTGTCGCTGCTTAGGAGTCTGGGTCACCAGTAGGTCCTATACACATATATATATATATATACACATAATCTATCTATCTATTTATCTATCTATCTATCAATCAATCTATCTTTCTATCTATCTATCAATCAATCTATCTATCTAACTATCTAACCATCTATCTACCTATCTATCTATCTATCTATATATATATATTTATCTATCTATTTACCTAAGCACATATATATGTATATATTATATATACATTTCAAAAAATATCTATACATATCTATCATGTCTATACATATCTATACATATCTATACATATCTATAAATATCTATACATATCTACACATATCCATACATATCCATACATATCCATACATACCCATACGTATCTATACGTATCTATACGTATCTATAGGTATCCATACGTATCTATACGTATCTATACGTATCTATACGTATCCATACGTATCTATACGTATCTGTACGTATCTATATGTATCTATACGTATCTATACGTATCGATACGTATCTATACCTCTATCTATCTATCTATCTAGCTGTCTATCTATCTCTCTATCTATCTATATATCTATCTATTTATCTTACTTTTCTATCTAACTTATCTATCTAACTTATCTATCTATCTATCTATCTATCTGGAACCCACATGACCTCTATTGTTTGTATGGTTTATCCGCAATGGGTCAAAACCTCCAAAACAAGGGTCATTTGGCTTCCAGATGTAGAGTATGTATTTATTATATACATGTGAACAAGGCATTGAGCAACTATTGGAATATGGGTGACCTAAGGAAAATATAGGTTCGGTAGGTCTATTGGGTTGGTTCATGGGAAAATCTACATGAAACCATGGCTGGCACGGACATGGCCGATCTGACGTGCGCCTGACTTCTGACTTGCGGCCGCAAGGTGATGGCTTTGGCTTCAAACATACGCGAATCAACAAACAACCAGGTAACAGCTGCTTCCACAGTGCCTTCCGTCTTCAATCTACTGGGAGGCTCGGCAGTGGAACAAACATTTTCTTCCAAGAAACGAACGCCATGGATCGCAACAACTTCGGAAAAAAAAATATAAATTTAAATTGCTTCAAGGGACCCCCAAGGGTGACATTGAAACACCTGTAATTTCTCTGCACAAGTCTCTGGCTCTGATCCAGCATTCTCCAGCACACCTTGCAACGAGAAACGTGTCTGTCGCACCGCTGTCACCATTCCCACTGTGAAGGGTTGAGTTAAACGTCCGCAATCAAGGCCGGTACTGGGCACATAAACAAGACCAAGAAGCAAGAAAAATGCAGCTGAATGGGCGGCCCATCTTGAAACCCTGCGGGTTGACGGAACTATCGGAACTTTGAAAAGTCCCAAGATGTCCGAAAAGTCATTTGGGACTTTTTGGGAACATGGGCTTAGAGGAGAAAACACACACACACATATATATACACAGGTACGATTCGGAAATGGAAGCCTTGAAGAATGTGTAACGACTTGCATCCCAAGATATTCCCAAGATGTTCAAAATTTCCAAGGCCTAACGATGTTCAGCGGCAAACGTCTGTCTTCTGCAATTGTCCCAATGTTCTGTTGTACATACCCAGTGCCCAAAAGAAAAAACACACAACATTCAGAGAAATTGTAGATTCCAAGTCACGGAAATTAAACTTGATGAAACTGAAGTACAGTAATCATATATCTAATTCTGTTATGGTTATAGAATCTGCAGTAGATACTATCAAGAACTGCAGATTCAGGTTCTTTTGGCCTGCACCCTGTCTCAACCTATCTGAACCTCTCGTCCCCTCGTCACCTTCACGGTGGAAATGGTGTTGTGTTTTGGGGCACGCTGGGCCCGAGGACCGCGGGAAGTTTGGCCAAGTGGATTTGTTACAAAAGCAGGGATAAGCGGTTCACCCCAGTCTCACCATTCACTCTCTCTTCGTTGAAATTTCATGAAATTTCAATGGGAAAAAGACAGAGAAGGTCAGAATACGTCAGAGAATTACAGTAGCATTCTCCTCTGGAATTGGGCCATGGCGTGCCTCATTTTTCAGACGCCAAGTCTCTAGCTTTCCATCATGGAAAGAAGATCCTCTGGCGCCGTGCTGGGTGCTGTGGTGCACCCAAACCACATCGACTGGTGTCAAGGTGCCTTGGGGAAGCTATCTGCGAATGTCTTAGGCGGAAACCTGTTCCCACTGAGTCACTGTAACAGTTCTAAAGAGGCAGTGGTGATATCAGATTTCCACAGAAGTGGGTACTTGCTTCTTAGGCAGTCCTCCCAGCTAGTATATTTCAGAAATCCGTGCGACATCCCACATGCGCACACTAGTGCAATAGACTTGCTGCTGGACCATCAGCCTATACCAGGCAGAAGGACAACCTTTCAGCTTCCCTCAAGCCACTCGTTCTAGCATTCACTTTCACTAAAACGTGACAGTGTCCTCCACTGCAACTGCTGCTGCTATCACTTTTGGAGATGTTTGGAGTCTTGAACAGCAAAGACCCTCCCAGCAGGCTGCCAGGGTCGCCAACGAGTTTTCGAATGTATCCTAACGGGCAATTCGTATCACTACCTCACTACCGTAGGTGGATGAATTATTTAACAAAATATTCAAGCCCCATGTAGACATCCCGAACCCCCATCCCCCCAAATTTCAATGGGCTGACGTGGGGTCCCAGGGGAACTGGTAGATCATCCACTTGGGGTTTCCATCATCGAGGATAACTGTTGAATATCCACATATATCCACCAATATCCATCATTCATCATCATTCTCGAATGGCTAGCCGCTGGTGCCGGTGCTGGGTGTTGAAATATCGTCTTTCAATCGCCTTTCTTCCGACTCAGCCGCTTTCCCTGCCTGGGCCGCAATACAGAACGAAGCAGCAAGTAGCACCAGCTAACACAGGACGGACCCTTCCACATTGTGATTCCAAGCCATTCCAAGCCATTGCACTTGTGTTGCTTGATTCGGGTAGTCCAAGTAAATTACATTGGAGATGGAGACTAGAAAAACATCCTGCAACACCATGAGATAAACAACCAGCGCTAACTGTGCACCCTTCAAAAAAGTTATCAACAGTAATCCGCAGCAGTCAGTAGTCCCCCAACAAATACAGTTCGTAAAATCCTACCAAAATGAAGTTTTTGTTTAACTTCATAATTTTTGCAGGGACTTCGGTTCTTGGTGAGAAATGTGGGAGAATATGTTCTCACAACCTATTTTGCGACTGAAAAAAATTAGCCATGAACTCCATGAACCGACGTTACACCCAAATTGTACAGCTGAGTCGTCTCTTCAATCCATGCCAAAAATGTGTCTCGATTTGGGTAAACTAATATCAAACACACCCCCCAAGAAACCATGGTTTAACCCGGGATTTCCACATTTTGGCGACCATACAAAGGTGGTGTTTCATATGTTCGTGGGATGGGATTATGGGGAAGAAACTTTATACTGCATGTTTGAAACCACTCACAAGGAAAAAACAAACTCTCCATATTACTGCATTTCCCTATATACAAATATAATATAATATATATATATACATAATTATATACATATATAATTGTAATTATATATAATTATATATATGATTATATATATAATTATATATATATAATTATATATATATAATTATATATATATAATGACTATTTCCATGTGTTCCATGAGTTCAGTAAATCCCCAGCTCACGGTTTCCGGTCACTTTTCGCCATTTCGCAGTGCTCCAAGATGCCCAGTCCACACGGTAGAGGAGAACTGCCAAGGCGATGGTGGCCATTCCGGTTCCAAGAACCATGGACCACCACATGCCATAGACGCCCAATTTTAAGGGCCTCAGGCTACCGTTCCTCTGATGATTCCCCTGGACTGGTTGATTTGGGTTATTACGCTACAGTTTGGGTGCAGAATTGTCCAGTCTGGTCAACTAATCTCATGTGTGTTTCTTCAAAAAAATGCCCATAGTTCGATTAGATGTTTAAAGTAAACTGAATGTGTATATTACGTATTCAAAACAAAGGCCAACTCATTCTATGCATATGGGCCTAGATGCCTATGAATGCGTATATATGATTATATGTGTATATATAAACATGTGTGTGTGCGCCTAAAGCCTGCATATATATATATATATATATGTATATATATACATATATATATATATATAAATATATATGCATATAAAGGTGATAAAAGAAAAAAACGGTAGGCTATGGTAATCACTTCCGTATGGGATTTTTGTTGAACAAAAACATCAAAACAACACACAGGGTTTTCTGTCACATCGTCAAGGTCTTGCATGGTCTTGCTGCACAGTGTCCACACGAAGCAGCAACTAACCGGCAGCATGATCAAGTAGTAACCTGAGACTTGATACCCTCTGGTAATTTAACGTAGCTATTGAAAATGACCATTTATAGTGGATTTTCCCATTAAAAATGATGATTTTCCATATTTTTCCATGGTTATGTTAGTTTACCAGAGGGTACAACAAACTGCAGGATTTTCTTGGTACACTGTAACTGGTTTTTGCCGCACCATCTGGGGAGCTCCGAGATGATCCCGCTGATGTTTTCATGACTGATCAGTCACTATTAATGACTATCCCCTGGGTTTCTTAAACAATGAGGCTGCTATATTGTGATAATAAGTACCCTCTGGTAATTTAACATAGCTATTGAAAATGACCATTTATAGTGGATTTTCCCATTAAAAATGGTGATTTTCCATGGTTATGTTAGTTTACCAGAGGGTAATCACTATTTTGGGGGTAACCCCCAAATCTATAGTCGGGTTTTTGTAGTCCGAGTTTAAGAAACGGTCAACGTTGATTTACCATGTCCAACACCCACATTCCACGTGGTTTGTCTGAACATAAACACCCCCAAACTTTGATGCTACTCACAATTATATAATCATCATTATTGCCACTAAAACAGCCATAACAAATGGTATTTCCACATTTTCAGACACACCCGTTCATATTGTATTGCTGGTTTTACGCTCCATGAGCCATGATTTCCCCACGGTTACTTCCCATTTGTTTTGTCAAACCACCTGTTTTCAGAGACCCATTCATGTCATACTGCTGGTTAGTCACATCTGATTCTATCGCATTATCTATTCATTATTGCTGGTTAAATATGGTTAAATCCCATTGTTTGTTGGTTCCAGTAATTCCCTACAGTAGTCTTTGTTGGTTGGCATTGAAATCCCCATCAAAATCACCATTAAATTTGATTATATTCGTTGGGTAAATGTCCTTATGATCAAAATTCCCGGTGGTAGTTGGTTGTCACCTTACAGTACATCCCATGATAGTTAAATCCCAAAAGCATTATATAGATTATATGGAGGTTTCCTAAAATGGAAAGTACCCCCAGTAATCATTCATGTTATTTTCGGATGTTCCATTACCCTCTGGTAAACTAGAATAGCTATGGAAAATCCCAAATTTTCATAGATAAATCAACTATAAATGGCCATTTTCACTAGTAAACTGTTAAATTAGGGTAATTAATTAAAAGCCATCCAGGGGTACCCCAATTTTGCCAGGCCAAAAAAGCGCTGTGTCAAGTCACAGATCAGGTACACCGCCGCAGGCGCCTGGTTGATGCCCACGCCTCGTAGGGCGCCACCAATGACGTTCTGGACGTTGTCGAAATAGCCCGCGACGCAATAAATGTTGATCAACACCACCTGGGATTTCATGGGAGATATCTGAGATATCACTCAAAAAAACAAGTTCATATCCGAGATGCTCCATGTATAGAATATATGCTAACATTGGGGGTATATTGATGGTAAATGTTACCATATATGCATACATGGATCCTATGGGTATGGGAGATGTTTTAAGGCTCCCATGGGATTCTATAAAAAATATGTTTGAAATGATCAAGACCACCTAAATCTGAAAATGGGTCCCAAGAACAACGGAAATGACCACCAGGAAAACATTGTTTTAACCATCACATGTCGATAGAATAAGATGCTTGGCAGGATTTGAAGCGGATTTAATGGGATTGTTTTTCTTTTGAGGGAGTTCATGGGATTTCCACATGTTGATCAAGACCACCTAGGGTTGTGTGGAAATTGGTGCTTTAAGCTACAAACGTGGCGATGTAATTGGGATATGATAGATATAATAGCAACAATATGATTGTGAAACATATAGTTGTGTATGACTGAAAATGGGAAACACCAGCAACCTGAAAAGTGTGATGAACCAATGGATGAATTGGGGTACCCTATTTTCAGACAAACCCACCTGGATATGGAAAAACCTACGGTTTCACTGCTTCACCAACAATAATGCGGATATGTCATGGGAAATCATGGGGTATTTTATCCAATACTAACAAGGTGATGGCACTTTGGAGGGGAACATACCCCTTAGGCAAACTAACATAACTATGGAAAATCACCATTTGCAATACGTAATTCAATGTAAATCACCATAAAATAACTAAATAGTTCCATTGTCAGTAGCACAAGATCAAAATGATCAAACCCACCTCGGCTGGGCGAAAACGAACACCGTTAAAAGCTCAGCTTATGGACGTCTCACATAGCTATAGATGGCCAATTTATAGATGTTTTACCTATATTGAACATCAAGTTTGTGAAACGATTTGGGATATTAAGTTATTAAGTTATATTTATAGATGTTTTACCTATATTCTCACATAGCTATAGATGTCTCTACTTTTGGAAAAGTCAGTAGAAACTTCTTTGGTCTTCGAAAAACCCCCCGTCTGACTGCCGAAAACCAAGTCGATACATCACCAGGTCAGTTCCCCCATCTACCCTCTAAGCCATGGAAGTTCACCATATTTAATAGGAGGTAAATCATCATTGGTGATTTACTAACCTTATGATTTAGTAAGGTAAATATTAAATTAATATTAGTTAAGAAAACTAACCTTAAACCATCATAATAACCTTACATATTTTAATTGGGTAAAAAGAAAACTAACCTTAAACAAGCTGCATTGGGATGATTCCCCTTACTAATTAACCAACATTCCAGCGAGGTCGCAGTGAGGTCATTGTAATTTTACCCAGATAAGTCATCTGCCAATGTAGGATGCACTAAAGATTATATACCATGAACAATATACCCCATCCCATACTTGACAGATATTGATAGATATTCCGATAATTCCAACATGCAACAACACCACTACAGTACCAGTAGGGTGCTTAAATACAAGATCTTAAGTTTCTACCAAAAGAATGACTAGCAAATCCTTCGAAAAATCGCCTCAAAAACATCCCCATGGGGTCCCCATTGTTGTTATTTTCCTTGCCATCTCCTGACCGCCCCAAACTCCACCGATCGCCCGCGGCCAAAGGGCAGTGATATCCTGCACGGCCTCGTTACTGGTGAGCAGCTTCACCACAAACTTCCCCAAAGTCACCAGGATCAGGGCCAACAGCGTCCACCTGTGGCGAAATGAAAGTTGCCCTTCGAATTTAAATACATTATTATACATATAATATATATATATATATGTGTGTGTATGTGTGTGCGTACTTGTTTTTCAAACAATGTGCTAAAAAATGTATGTATATTATACATATAATTGTAGATGTGAAACATGGGACGAGGGGTCATAAACCATGACGAACCATGTTACACACACATATATATATATAGATTATATAGACAAACTCATGTGAGCACGAAACACATCAAACAAGCCCAACCCCCCACACTTGGACTGGGCACATGATCACATCCATACCAGCAGCCACCCATGCCGCTTGGCGGCTCCTTGGTTGAAGCAGGTTAGCTGACTCTCCTTGTCTCTGCACACTTTGGTAATCAATTCCTTGGGTCTGGTTACAGCACCAAATACCCTCTGGTAATTTAACATAGCTATTGAAAATGGCCATAGAAATAGTGGATTTACCCATTGAAAATTGTGATTTTCCATAGTTATGTTAGTTTACCAAAGGGTAAACAGGCATCGGGGTGAGCTGTGGCCAGTTGGTCAAGCTTCTTTTTCGGACGCAGTTCTCCAATGCTGTTGCCCACCTCGTTCAAGGATAGATCGACATGGCCAGATTTGGGGATGCAAAAACAGGAAACAAACATGGAAAAGTTTGGGAAAGTGTTTGAAACAAACAGGAAACAAACAGGAAACAAGAATCAATTCGGGCAAGTGTTTGGTTAAAAACATTTAAACACAATCACATGTCCATCCGGTGCCAATTGATCAGAAAATTAGTGACAGAACCGACCCTGGGCATCCGGCAGTAGCCTTGGGAAGACGAGCGTGTTGCGAATGGGGAAATTGTTGAATATCCGATTATGTGTATGGAGCACAAGTGTGATCACACGTGTCGTTCACATACAGCACACATTCTTGCAAACATCATGTCATGGTGAACAAATACCTTGGAAATCTAACAGTTTGCCAGGGAAACGCCCCACCCATATGCTCCATGTATGGAATATTTAGCAACATTTCCCTGCACGAAATCACCCAGTTCTCTAGGGAAATATACCATACATGGAGCATACTACAGTTATGGCCCGATATGGCCCGAAATACAAGTTCTAAGTTCTAAGTATTCATAATCCCATGAAAATAAGAATGTAATATCCTATGTATAACCAGTTATAACCTGTTATATAACTGTATGTGTTATCCCATATATAACCAATTATAACTCAAAAATTGCCCCAAAAAAAACCGGTAAAACCATCTCCAACTGGCCCGGCTGTTCGCCATGTTCCGGCGAAGTCACCACCGTAGCTGCTGCATTCGACAACGCCCTAAGAGTCGAGTCCAAGGCGTTGGGGCTAATTACTTTCACTATATATTACTATTACTCTACTCTAGTAATACAACAATAATAGAATAGAAATAGTAAAAATGAAATATAGTAATAGTAATTAATAGACTAGTAATAATATAGTAATAATTTTGGGGCCATATATAATAATAGTCTAGTAATAGTACTACCAATGATAGTATATTAAAATACAGTACTATATATTATAATAAATATATATATAGTAATATATAGTAATAGTACTATATATAATACTCATAGTACTAGCAACACAACAACAATAGATAATAATCAGATCTAATCATAGTCATAATCATTGATAATGATCATATAGTAGTGATTAATTACTATTAGTAAGTAATAGTATTATAATCCTAATGATAAGCAAAAATAATGACAATAATCATAAGAAAACTATTGGTAGCTCCTCTATAAAGTGGTGGGTTACCATCTTACTGAATTTATCATTTTTATCAACTCAAACCATCCATCCGAATGTCATCATCATTCACCACGAACCTGCACTGTGTGGCCATTCATCGCAAGTTTCAGTGACGCAACGCGGCCAGAGGTTGGTTGAATTTACCAGTGATCACCGCACATAGTTCTACTCACAACTCCATAATATCCAAAGTTTTCACCACCACCTGCGCCACGTCACACGCTGGGCATAAAGAGCAGCGCCACCAAGTTGATGGTGGCGACATGTGCCGCCAGAGGCGTAGGGCCAAGAAAGCCAATGACCAAAGCACAAATCTCCCAAAACCACCTGAGCTCGGCTTGGTTTTTCGAGCTGCTAATGTCTATTAACCTCTGGTGTTGATGCAGATTTGTTTACAGTGCTACTAGCATCGATTACTGTAGAAAGACTCCAAATCTATATACGGGAGTGGCGGGGAACCGGATGAGAACTGCAGCATGTTTGGAGCCTACAGTGATAAAATACGTGAACATATCTGAAAAAAAAATATTATATAAATATGCGAGAATGCTGTTGCATTTCCTGGCAATTGGTGAATACATGCAAATATATGCGAACATCTGCGATATGTGGAACCTGAAGAACCATCTGGGTTCAGTAGGTTTGCTCACTCGGTGGGTATGACCAATTAGGGAATCTATCTGTTTACTGTAACCAGTGCTCCAGTGATTTTTTGCTTACATCATCGACCAACGTTTCCTAGGCTCTGGTATATGAATGCAACAAGTGGGGTGGCTTTCCATGCCATCCTAGATTTCCAGAGCGAAGGTATCCTGTCGTATAGCCTCGGTTGTCTCTAAAGGTACTGGCGAAGAACATGCTTTGTGAGCATCCCCAGTATATTGGTTAGGAAATCTTGGTATCCCCCAACTAATCATCAATCAACTATCATTTTTCTGTTTTACTACTTGTATCTTGTTTACTCAAATTCTGATGGCTCAAACTTTATAAAATTCCATAGTGTCCCATAGTGTCCCATACCACTGGATAGCTTCCCAGAAACTCCGAAAGGGTTTGTGATAATCCCCAATATATTGGATAGCATGTTGATATATAATCCCGACTATATAATCACAGTACTATCAAATGTATATATATATATATCACACTTACTATCAGAGTATTGGATATCATTGTGATAATCCCCGCTTTGATTAGTATAATTATATAATATATATATAGTCATAGTAGCAATATTAGTCACTAGTACTATTCTTGTATCACGACTGCCAATACCATCACACATATGTATATATTACTGTATATTATTATATGTAATATCATAGTAAAACAGTGGTTACTATTGTAACTTATTCTGTGATGTATGATATAACTTGAATAAACAACATACAGTTAGTCATCAACATATACTTTATAGTCATAGTAACAAATAGTAACCACCATCATTTATTGAATTAAATGTATACGACTTACCATCTGGTTATTTAACATAGCCATGGAAAATCACATTTTTTAATAGGTAAACCCAGGTAAACCATCTAATTATAAATGGGCTATTTTCCATGGCTATGTTAAATAACCAGAGGGTATATCATCTTGCATCCCCATATTTTGATGGTTAAACACCTACAAAATGACCACACGAAGCAACCGTCCGTCCAAGACACCACTCGCCGCAGAGCTGCAGGGTGCCTGGGATGCCAATGGCCAAATAGCTCCTCCACTGGCGAAAGCCTTCCTGATACCGATGCGAAACGAAAGGGGAAGCCCTGGAAATATGAGAAACATATGGATTTAGTCATCAAACAATTAGGGATTTAACCATCAAACAATATAGGGATTTGACCACGAACAAGAACAATTTAACCTTCAAAAGCAATGAAAATGAGGATTTAACCATCAAAATAATCTAACAGTTCGCAATGTGCGTCAGGCACGAACGGTGCTCATGGGGGTTGGCAGCTGGGGTGGGGGGTCGTGTCAGCAGGTGTGTGAGGGGGGCGGCTGCCGCCTCTTCACCCATGGGCCAATGGGGATTTCGAGGAGGTCAAAAAATCGTGGTTTTCCGTAGCTATGTCAGATTATCATAGGGTAACTCTGGTGAACTAACATAGCAATGGAAAATCACCATGTTTAATGGGAAAATCCACTATTTCTATGGCCATTTTCCATTGCTATGTTAGTTCACCAGAGGGTAACTCTGAAATTTGGCAAATGCAATGCATCAGGGGAACTAGTAAAAAAACAAAAGTGGCGGCTTAGTCCGCAAACAAAACAGGGATTGAATCATCAAACAGTGGGTGATTGAAACCATCAAGCATGGCATCTTATATAATCATCAACAATTGGAAATTAGCCTTCAACAATACCGGGTTGAAACAAACATACCATTGTCATCAAAGCCCTCCCACCATTAAAAAAAAAAACTACCAGATTTGTCTCTGAACATTCTCTGAACAAATTCTTGGGGCCAAGTGACACGTAGCATTCTGTTTACTTATACATCCGACCAGCATGCTGCGCATATCCCCAGAAAAGGTGTGGCCAACACTGTGTGGAAACTGACGGCTGGCTGACAGGGAGGCTGCAAGTATCCACCTATCTACCTACCTATCTATCGATCTACCTATCTACTACCTATCTACCCATATATGGCCCATCTACCTACCTACTTATTATAATATATATATATATATCTATCTCTCTCTCTCTCTATCTGTCTATTCTATTCTACTCTACTCTACTCTATTCTATTCTATTTGATTCTATTCTATCAAAGTGCATCTCCACACAAACAAGCATGTTGAACGGAGGGGCTTAGCGGCTGCCGAATAGCATCGAATAATGGCTCAGTATGACCCTCGGCCTCGATGATGATTGCCATGGTTATTGTCATTATCATTATCGTCATTCTCCGATGACGATGACGATTATGATTATAGCGGTTGCAATTGATGATAACGATGTCAATGATTACAAGGACTATAATGATTACAATATATAATATAATGATTAGAATTAGAATGGCTATAATGACTACAGTGACTATAATTATCATGATGACAAAGAACAACAAACATATAATAACCATGGCAACTGCTGCACGCGATGACTGGCCCCGCGATCGCGATCCTGGCCGCCCGCGCCTTCTGAACGCCCAGCAGCTGCCACACGCTGCCGTGTAAACTGGACGCATTCCAGGCCAGAAACACAGCTCCTAAGCTGGTGGGGGCTGCCTTCGCTCCACCGGTGGTGACAATTCTGAACCCCCTGAAATCCGAAAACGCAATTGTGTAAGTAAACCCTGGAAAGACACACATAGCAAGGTCATGTATGTTGATTCGTCCTCCAAGATCTCCAAGCCTAGGTGTGTGTTCAACCTAACATGTCTAAAGCTGGAATATGATAAGCCCCTGCGTGACATGCAACTGTGACTGTGACTGTAAAAAACTGAAAACATGACTAGCGCCAAACATAGCCAACAAACAACTTTTGAAAACTTCAGTCCAAAACAACACAAACATAATGTGTAGTTCCATTATTCTGCTTCATTTCAGGGCGTTCCAGCATAATTCATGAAAATGACCCGCCTGTCTCCTCGAATTTACGTTTCGATATGTGTATATATATATGTATAATTATATAAATACATATTAATATGTATAATATATATATATATATGTACATATGTGTGTTGCTTGAAAAAGTGCCAATTGCCCAATTTCTTTCAGTGGAATGGCCATCATTAAAACAATGATTTCAGCTTGGGTTTGCTTGAATTTTGTATGACAAACACCACTTGAACTTGCCCAATCACCAGGTCCAGGCCATTTGGAGTACCCCATCCATTTCTATAGGATTTTCCACTACAAGTAGCCCTTTTCTATAGGAAACTCCCAGTTCTTCACGGTGAACCCCGTGAACCCCCCGGTCCTGACAGACATTGCAACGTCCAGGTCGTTAAGTTGGCCGCGCCCGCCCCGGAATTTCCCATGTTCAAAACCACGATGAAGAGCACGGCCCAGACGATGTGCAGCACACCTGCGGGGCCCCCTGGGCCCCCTGGGCCCCCTCCCACTTGGAAGTTATAGAAGTTGGTACAACTTGGTTTAAACAACATGATTTAAAGCCATACACTACAATATAGAGTACCACCCTGCAAGTTGAGGAGAAAACAGGCTGGTATCCTGGGGTTCATGGGAGAATTTGAGGTGGAACAAACTTTGATGTCCTATGCCTATGATTGTATGCATATATATATATATATATGATGATTGCATATTATTACATATATATATATGATTGCATATTACATATATATATAATTATATACATGTATGTATGTACGTAATGTAATGTAATGTAATGTAATGTATGTATGTATGGATGGATGGAAGGAAGGAAGGATGGATGGATGGATGTGTATATATATATATATATGTGTATATATATATATACATATGTGTGCGCGCATATCTGTGCGTGACACGGCTAATTATTCATGATCATAGCGCCATTGACTTCGACAAGGTGATAAAACCCAAAGACAAACAAACATAACATATACATGAATGTCTCACGTTGTTTATTATCTTTGGCGTGCAGCCTCACATCATGATGACAACGACAGACTGTGGCTACATATGTTGCACATTCTAACGTCTGCAAACGGCCCCAAATCTGACTTCCAAAAAATGATGTTGCAAAATGCCAATGCTATAAACAATTCAGACTTTAGAAAACCCAGACAGGTTGAGAGTCCAAATCACCAGCACGTTTTTTTTTTGTTTTCTGGTAACTTTCCGACTTTTTTTCTTAGTGACATCCCACTTTTTGGCAGCTGAACTCCCATTTGTGAAGTTCAATAGGTTTTCTTGGGAAACAACAACACCAACAACTACAGTATGGTGCCGTATATATATATATAATTGTATATATAATTGTATATATATATATACTTGTACTTATATACAATTGTATATATAATTGTTTATATATATATATACATATACTTATATATATAAATACATATACTTATATATATTATATATATGTATATACATACTAACTATATACATATATTATATACATATATATTATATACATATACAAGGGGCGGGAGATGGAGGAGTCCTGTAAATCTTCTCTTCAACCATCTTCAGCCCAATTCCAGGACCAAGCCACTGGTCACGCCGGAGATCCACGCGGCGGCGTTGGGTCGATTCTTGTTGCGCAAGAAGGCCAAGGTGTTCCTAAGTCATTCATCTGGGTAACTATAGTTTCTGATGGAAAAAATGAACAAATGTGTAAACTATCTGATTATCTTATCTATTAATATGTTACTAACCTGAATAGTTCGGCTATTTGGGGATGATTTCCCTTATTAACCGTATGATTCCAGAGGAGAACAGGCTTCCGTGGTTATTGTGACCCATTTTTTTGTCATTCATTTCTACTGTTTGATGGTGGACTTCATCAGAATGCCATCTTGACTGCCACCGCTCCCCATGGCACAAGGAAAAAAAAAACCTTGGTTGGCGGAAAAAGCAACCTCATGCTACAGTGTTATACAATATACATATTTGCACACTGATTGGAAACTGTGGGCTACACCTAGCGTTCCTGATCCCAGCATTCCAAGCTTCGAATGTTGAAAGAGAAAGAACAGTCCAAATGCAGCAACCCGATTGTAGTTGCAGGCATGCTTAGCTACATCCTTGTGCTGACCGACAGCCTCAGAGCATGGCAAGTGGAGGATATGTAGGGTGCTGCCCACACCAATGGGTGCTTTCCTAAAATGGGGGATCCCCAAGTCACCAGAGCTTTACCAAAATGCTGACTAAGCTGCTGATATTGGGGGTACTGTACCCCAAATCAAAACTATCCATGACTCAACCTCCACCAAGTCACTATCAGCAGGTCGTCGCTGAACCACAGGATTGGAAACATCCACACCAATTGTAGGGCTCCGATGACCCTGCCGCAGCGTCAAACGTGTCCTTTTAGAGGTGATGCCCGGCCACCGAAGTTATGTTTCTTGTTGGTTTATGAACCAAACTGGAGTATATAGATAATCAATCATCATCATATAATCCAACTATTGAGAAATATATCTCAACCAACTCAATTAAATTGAGCTAACAATGGTGCTGCATCTGGTGGCTTTTTTGCAAACGTCTCCCGCATTTCAGACCTGCTTCGCTGCAAATAGTGTATGCCTCAGCGAATTCGTGGCCCGCTTCGGGAGATAACCAATAAAGGTTCCACGGATTCTATTGCAACTGTTGATGCAGGTCCTATTTCATCCAACTAAGCTGCTTGCCAATCAATTTCTTTATCTAAGTCTAAGTTCAAAAAACCTCAAAACAAGCTTCAGGTTCCAACTTTCAAGTTGCAAACCTCAAAATAATTTGAAAGTTCCAAACCTAGGTTCCATCTGTTTCCCATCTTTTTCTGCTGGAAGCCACCCAAAAACACCCAAAAACCATCCAAGTTGCACAGCTGGTGCTGCCCTGCACCATGGGCTTGGCTCACCAAGGTATCCAAGGCCGTGGTGAGGCCGAACGCGATGCTGAGTCCGAAGCAGTTCCTGCAGAGCTCGGAGGTCGGAAAATTAGGGATTCGCAGGTTTTTGTACCATTCGAACATACCCTCTGGTAAACTATTTTCAATAGCTATTGAAAATGGTCATTTATAGTGGATTTTCCCATTCAAAATTGTGATTTTCCATAGCTATGTTAAATTACCAGAGGGTAGGGATTTTACACCATCAACACCAGTAGAAAATAGGGATTTTCATGAAGCTGACCATAGAAAAAGAGAGAAATTGACCTGGCTCACCATAAGAAAACAGAGATTATGGTCATCAAGAAGAGGAAAATAACCAACTGGATTTTATACAGGTTCATTTTTATGGGGATTTGTAGAGTGGGATAACCCGCTTTGGGAGGGTCCAGTTTTCCGACAAACCAATGTGATTCTGGGAGACACGGGGAGATATTTTTGCCGGAACATATGGGAAATGATTAACAAGAAAAGGGAAATTGAAACCAAAATCAGAAACCAACACGTCAAACTGTCAGCCAACATCAGCCAACTGTTCCCCAAAAATATGTTTTAAGAGAAGAAATCAAAGGGAATATCCAAACGACAGGTGCATAATTGTTTGGTCACTCTGTTGGGTGGTTAGCTGTGAGCTTGCATTAACTTGCAACCGCTGCCGCTATGCCGTGATGCAAAGGATTCTGAAACCACCGGCCCAGACCACAAGCTAAACAACGAGCAGTGACAAACAAGGCACAAACAACATTTGGGCCCATGAGTAAATCACCTACTGGTATCAGGTTTTGGTCCATGTTCAAATCCAAAGCGATTGTTTTTAAATGATCTTAAGTGTCTATTCATGTTACCCTCTGGTTATTTAACATAGCCATGGAAAATCACCATTTTTAATAGGTAAACCATCTATAATGGGCCATTTTCCATGGCTATGTTAAATTACCAGAGGGTAATTATTCCACCAAAGGTTTCTCAGATCTTCTTACATCCAGCACATTTTTGGGCGACCTGCCAAGATTGAAAAAACTGGGTTTCTGGATCAATGCAAGGTGGGGTTTCCCACTTATGTTGGTTTTAAACCCATTCATATCCATTCATTATAGCTATAAATATGTGGAAGATTGTGGAAGATTGTGGAAGCAATGAACATGTTGGTTTATGATGGTTTATACACCCCGTTAATTCCATTAATGAAACTCATTCTATATTACTAAACCCAATTAAACCATATTCATATATTATAATTAAAAACTACAAAAATATGTATAATTTATATAATTTTATATAGACATACACCGTATCCCCCATTTAGTAACTCACTATGCTGAAAAGTTTGGTCATCGGATGATTCCGCAAGGTGACCCCTAGACTCTATTCGCATCATTAACATGCATTAACCATATAATTTGCAATCAGTAACGTACTTCTTCACCAACAACAAGCCCTGATGTCTTAAGTTGTCATTAAAATTCATTCACCACCACTATCACCATCATCTACAAATCAGCCACGCTTAGCCACATTTCCCTACTACTAACGACTCTGAACCACTAATAATCACTATTGATCGTCACTAATGATGATAACTAATAATCACCACTAATTACCACTACTAAATCATCAAATTGTCTTCAAATTTAACTAGTAATTTCATGATCATCAAATAGTAGACAATCATTGATTGTGATTTCTTCACATCGAATAGCCATCATGATAACTAATAATCGTCAATTCACTATATTAATCAAATCATCAATTCACTATTAATCACTATTAGAAATTATCACTACTATTTGATCAAATTGACCAAGTTCAATATTAATCACTACTATTATCACTACTATTAGTATTTAATCAATTCTATTAAAGACCAAAAATCATCAAATTTCTGTTGCCCAAAAAACCGAACAAAGATCCGATGAATCCGAGACATCTATCCGACGTAAGCTCAGAATTTGTTTATCCATGGCAAAAGAAGGATCCAGCGCTAATGGTCATTATGAACATTCCATGTATATAATTATATATGTACATACAATATACACAAAATAAAAAAAAAAAAAACTATATAAAGATAAAACAAAAATGATCCATTATAATCACTATGAATCAATATCCAGCGCCAATGGTCATCCATTGATATCCATTGCCAATATAAATATCCCAGGCACTGCATCATATTTCCCAAGCCCACGGCTGCCAGTTCGGCATCATTGCCCACATGACCCAGGCATAAGGTGTTGGTGAACTCGTTGAGCCTAATCCGAAACGGGGAAGTCGTCAGGGATTCGAATCCAAAATTCTACCTGCTGAAATGGTGATTTGACATGTTAACATGAGTTGAAAACATCATAAACAATGGGATTTCTCAGTGATTTTTCATAGGCTTTTACTGTCCTCTATCTGAGTTATCTGTTGGAATTGGGCACTGTCACTATATTAACATGATTTAGAAGTCTGAACAAGGGAGATGTTAATGTTAATGTTAATATGATGTTATGATGAATATATTGATATGATGTTAATGTTAATATGATGTTAATCACTGTCACTATATTAACATAATTAACATGCTGTTACCATATTTTTTCCATTGCATGATGGATTTCATGGATCCATCGATGAATATCTTCGGCACATTCGGGCACATTCTCCGTGGCTGGGACAGGTTGGTCCGGACCTGCGGACCTGTCCTCCAACACAAAATGGCATATGTCGAACAACAGTCCTGACATGTAAGGGGCCCAATTGAAGATTTTTTAGAGAAATGCAGTCGTCAATAGGTAAAGTGAAATAAAAGTCAATAGGTTAAGTGATTTTTTAAATAGTAGTCAATAAAAGTTAAGCAACATAAGTGAATAGCTAGTGAAATTGGGACATTGAACCGACCACAGTGAGTGAGTCACATGAGCATTGGTAGGTACAGCAATGTGAGTTGAACTGTCAGGAAAACATCTCTCAGCTGCGGAAGAAACATAATACACCGATATTATAGACCCATGAAAACATCATGGGCAACCAATATAATATTGGGTGTTTTTTTCATCATTGTAATGGGCCTCACTTATCTGGGCCCTTCAGGACCGAACATAGGCGATTTTGATCTTTAGATTTTCAAATTTGGTAGGCAATTTTTCAGATTTTCAGATTTGTCCCAACATGATCATGGATATTTGATCTACGGCAAAACTCATGGATTTTTGATGCAGCACAATGTAACCAACAAACTCCGTTGAACATTCAACATGGTTTCTACGTGAGGACTCAGAGTGATGAACCCCCCCAAGGTCAACCCCTGCAAGAGACAGCTGCAGAAAATTGGCGGTCATCCTTGGAGGCTTGGTTTCGACCAAGAATGGATGTTTCCAATCCATGGGGGTACCCCTAAATCATCCATTTTAATTTCGGATTTAATAGGATTTTCCATTATGAATTTATAAGCCATCTATTTCCAAATGGTTTGGCGTCTGGGAGTCTCTGCCACAAGTAACTGGAATATTTTTTTGCGAATCATTTTTGACTGCTGGAAACAAACCACCTGCAGCATCTGGAGCCCTCTGAAGAATCAACAAAACACTCAAACACTGAGATTCTTGAGAAAAGTCGATCTTTCTTAGCATTCAAACCGATGGGTTTTTGAGGCTCCCCGATTTTCAGATGTTTTAAGAACCCCCCGTCACCCCGTCATCGCTGCCATGCTACGTTGGGGCTGCTATCCTCGGTCGCTCTTTCGGGATCGGATGAGCCGGAGGTGCGCACAGCATCAACAAGAATCTGGGAAGTTTTGCCAATATTTCATGATTTCATGGATCAATCCATATCAAACATATCAAGGCCTTTTTAAGGGAAACCTTCAGGAACCTTTAGTTTTCAATCTGTTGGGGGCCTTGCAAGTTTCCTGCAACCGATTAAAATGGAGGTGGTTGAGCCCGACATGCCCGACATGCCCGATAAAACCAAGTGCAGTACATTATCCGGAGGCGAAAAAATGACAACATTTTATAAAACCATATAATACCAGAAGCCAGTCAATGGCACTAAAAAAAGAATGTTGGATGAATTGAGCTTCAAGAACGTTGCTCGAGAACCATAAATTTCCAGCTGGCCCAGTTGTTCAGGATTTAGCTGGTCAAGTCAAATCCACATGGTGTTACTTCCCAGCCACGAACGCCCAGTGGAACTGTGTTGCTGGTTGAGACTATGTACATTGTGCGAGATAGTGAACTTTGGTTGTGTGTCTTTGCGTGATCACTGTGACATATTGCGTCCCCTTTTCTGAGTTCATACCTCCAAGGGGCAAAAGTACGTTTACAAGTTCGACTCATGAAAGACAAACGGAGGGACAAACCGGGAACCCCAAAACAGAACCCAATTCACCAACACTCCGCATGAAAACAAGAACAAGCACCCCTTTTTGCTATGGGGCACTTGAGCCATGACGTCGGGTACACACTAATTACACCCAGGTGGTTGTTAGGGTGGACCTAGTGCTACCCTCTAATCTATGGCTACTCTATCTACCTAACGCTTCTAAGTAGATGGTGCTATTTCTGTACAAATATTGGATGTACTACTTGGGGACTAATGGTTCTCATAGCTACGGCAGTGCTCTACACATGACCTACTACCTATGCTATACATAGTGGGGCTCAGGGGTCGGTATATTTCAACTCCCCCCTCGCCTGTTCCACACGCACTGCGCATTGGCAGTATCCTAAGCAACTACTGTCGCGTGAACGGACGTTCACAGCGACCTAGGCTTTGGACTTAAGGTCTAAGGGAAGGTCAGTACGGATTCCTAAAAGGATTAGTGCTGCTGCCCATTTGTGTGGAGGCAATGCCTTGGTGAATATGTCTGCCGCCTGATCATCGGTATTGATGTAGTCTATTTCGGCAGAGTCATCTCTGAAGACTTCAGACAGGCAAGACAAATTAACTTTGTGTGTTCTAGTTATATAGCGAAGCTTGGGACTACATCCTTTCTTCACAACTAGGATTGTTGCTTGGTTATCTTCGTGGACCCTAAGGGTTACGGAGCGTGCGAGCAACAGCTCCCATAACTGTAAGGCAGGCAAGCCTTCTTGATAAAGCGAATGGGCTAAACTGACAACCTCGCTTTCCGTGGTCGATCTAGAAGTGGATGTTTGGCGCTTGCTAATCCATGCAAGTGGGAAGAAGGAACTAGGGCCAGTTAAAGCCAGAAAGCCACCAGAGGTTGAGCGTGCAGTTGATCTGTCGCCGGCGAAGTCGGCATCGACAAACAGTCGAGCTCTAGGTCTTCAGGCTTGTCCTGAATAGTACCTACCAACCTATAGTGTGGGGTTGAGGCTATGTACTGGATTAATCTTAGGACCTTCTTATCATCCCCCCTGGACCACGACTGGACTTTTGTGGCCAGATCATTGATAGGCTTGATGATCGGGACGTGCAAGTCTACCTAACCAAAGGGCTTTCATCAAAATCTTACATGCATTTGGAGCTAGTTCCCCTTTAGTTTCATCATCTTCAATGGTGATGGATCCCTCAGGTGGAAATGGCGTGGCGGCATGCTTGAGTTTGGTGACACCAGTTATTGATTTATACAAATCTACGGTCTGCTGAGCGTAGTCTGCCATATCAAAAACCATGCCAGTTTGGGCTTGGAAGGCTGCACATTTTTCATGACCTTCGGTCTTGGGAAGTGGGGTAACAACATGGTTGCGTCCAAGAATCCTATAGATGGGCTCTGGGGGTTCTATGTCTACCACAGAAGTTAACTTACTCCAGAATGCATCATGCTGGTCGGCGGGGCCAGCTAGAGTTAAATCGTCTACATAAGTTGACAGAAGTAACTTTGTATCTGGAAAGTAAAAGTTTCCTGGGTATTCTAGAACTTCCTGTCCACCAAGGTTCTTGATGATGACTTTCAGGTGTTGTTCCCACAGGCCTCCGGCATCAGGATGACCGTATAAGGCTTTAATTAAGAGGACTACGGGCTTAACAAACTGTTGTTTCCAATACTTAGGGCGGAGCTCCGGGGGAAGCTCAATCCAGGTCTTGTATTTGGAAGATAACAGTGCTTGGACATAAGCTTTGACTGCATCTGCAGCCGTCGCGCGGTTACCCGGCAGCGACCCGTACGCCAGGCAGGCGTTTAGCCGTTGGACGGAGGTGGGGTTAGCGCCGAGTTCTTGGTAAACCGCGGCTGCACCATGTTCGTCCTTTGCGCAGTCTCCTCTGTACACGATGCGCCCCTTCATTTTGTGAAGGTGGTCTGCGAGCTCGTAGAATTTAATGGACGCGATGGTCATGAGTTGACCAAAGTGCACTGACACACCTGAAGCCTTAGCTTCTTTGCGTACATCTTCCTTCTCGCGGACCGAGCCAAGATCCCAGGTACCAGCCTTAACCAAACCATCGGCTTCGGCACGAATTGCCTCAAGGGCCTTGGGGTTGGACAGCATCTCCGCACGGGATAAGAGCTTGGTGACCATTGCTTTGATCTCAGGCGTTGGCGCCTTAGGGTCCTCCAGGTGGAGGGCTTGCGCGATCAATTGTTCATGGTCAAGAAGTTCTGTAACCAACCTATTAGCGGTGGGGTCTGATTCAACAGCTATAGCTAAATTTTCAAAACCAGCTAATGGGGATACGTGCTTAAGGTGCTGCTCAATTTCCCTATGGGGTTGAGGCTCGCTAGTTGCCGGTCGGCAAGGCATAGCAGGAACGGACTGCTGGGCACATTTTGAGGGATACAAAGCTTGCGCAATTAGATTAGTCATTTGGGGCGGATACATTGCGGAGCGAGTGGTCTCAGCTCCCTCACATCTGGAATGAGGTTGCTGGCATCGGCACCGCATGTCTTGAAACGCCTCTACAATTCGGGAAGAAGTGGTCTTGAGTTTCCATGGCTTTTTGATGAGATAACCATTTCTGTCGGTTAAACCTACGGTACACCCTTCAAAACCAACGGTCATAAACTGGGGATACTTCTCAAAGAATGCTACAACGTCAGGCCTTTTCCAGCCAGAGCAAAGTCTTGGCCATTCAAACGTTACAGTACCACCATGATTGAGAACCCTTTCAGCGCGCTTGGAAAAACTCTTAAACAACCGTTTGGACTCTTTGACCTGGCGGGCAAGCTTCCTCATGAATGCGGCACCACCCTTCTTCCTATTGATGTACTGCCAAGGGGATCCGGATGTGCAAGGGATGGAAGCCCACATATGTGGAGGTGCAACTTTAGCGGCTTCATCTATCTGATAGTCTAGTTGCTCACATTGTGACTCATCTCCCAGGTCTATCCTATCCTTAAAAAGTCTAACATGATTAATGCCATATTCTTGGTGAGTAAAATCCATCTGGGAGTCCTCAGAACAAGCAAATTCAAACATGGTTGACTTGGCATTGGGTCTGGAAGCTTTCTTGGCAGCTTTCCGGCTCCTACGATTATCGCGGTTAGTTGGCTTACCTACAGCGGGGCAACCAAAAACAGGCAGCGACTTTTGACATAGGTCGGAACATCGATTGGCAACTTGGGGGAGGATAGCTACACCGGAAACAGAAACAGCAGGCTCAGGCGGAGCGCTGGGTTCGGATGACCCTGGTACCTCACCTCTTATGAAAATTTCATCAAAGAGTTCCCTGTCCTCAGCGGAGAGGTGTGATGGTATGGGGTCAGGCAGGTCCTCACCTTGGAAGATGATGCCATGTGCTTCATCGTCCTTGTCTTCTGCTTCAGTTTCACTTTCAGGTGGTGGAGCTTTCTTTTCCCTTTCAGCTTCTTTATCTTTTTCAACCAACATTGAGAAGCGGGCTCTGCACTCATCAGTGTGCGCACGTGAATGGCCAGTGCAGCCTTTGCAACCGGGGGTCTCTTTCCATTTAAGGATACGGTCTACGGTTATATAAACAGAACGACTTTTGAGACCTGGTGTAGAGGGTGAGGCTATTCCGCCCTCCTTTGGGAAGGGCACATCCTTTAAGGCATATTCAGGCAACTTAAGATCATCTGGGTTATCCCCCCTGATGAGAGCTTGGTGGCGTGAAAAACCTACTGGAAAAACAGGATCACCTTCAGGGACAAAGATTTCTGCTTCTGGAACATCAACGGCTGAATTCCCACCTCTAGTGCGATACTCTTGATAATCTAGCACCCTAAGAACATTTCTATATCGGAAACCGGGATCAATCCTCCAACCCAAAAACAGACCAGGTGACATGTTGGGCTCCAAAGTCCTTTTGGTGGGTGACTTCCTACGGTAATACACTAACTGACCAAAGCATAACCTCATGCCATCAAACTTATTCCTAGTAAGCGACTCCCATTGGGGTTTGTCGGGGTCAGCTATTGAAGGCTTGTCGAATGACATTGAAAGGCAAGCATATGGATAGCTATATGTGTGATACTCATAGGGAAGACCAGATTGGAGGTGGATAGTGCGACAGCATTCCTTTTCCTCTCGAACATCTCTCTCGAGGATGGCATTGTGGGGCCATCTGTTCGGCAACGAGGTTTCTGGAACCATGCCTACGGCATGTGCCGCCTGCTCAAGCTCACCGGCTTCGTCCATTTTGATGAACGTTCGGGTGGTGAGCTCTGATCCACGCAGTCATAGGGGCCTGTTGGTGGGGGGGTCACCCCCCCCCCCTCTGTGCATTTACCGGTTCGCTTCAATTTTCCACTTCCGCAGACTCAACGACTTCAGGCCCCTGATGTTTCCGTGTCTTCTGGTAAACATCACTGTGTCCCAGAGACTGCCCTTACGCACAAAACCACAGATGAATGTCCCTTGACATGGACCCTAACACCATGCGTTTTAATACTGAAAAAAAGTCATTTTCTGGTTGATGGTTTCAACTCCTCTGAAGATATTAGTCAGTTGGGATGATTATTCCCAATATATGCAAAAAAAAGTTCCAAACCACCAACCAGGTCCAAATAACTGGATGATTTTGAGCTCCTCAGAACAACCAAAGGATAAATGACCTGGGCATCTCTGCGCTCACAACTCACTAATCTGTAATCGCGAGCGCTGTCTGTCCACTTGGCGCTTGCCTCGGGATAGATTGCGAACTTCATTGGTTGGGTTCCTCTATTTGAGGGTTATGATATGTTGTAAAATATGTTAGTATAGATATATATATATATATATATATATAAATAGCTCCTAGTTGAAAATAGAATATCAGCAGGATATCCTGATCAAAGGTGATTTTTGTTTATTGGAGTATAGGATGTAGAATGTACACATAGAAATAAAATGGTAATGATTGTATATATATATATATATATGTATATGTATATATCCCAGACTAACACGGCCCGTGAGAATCACCCATTTCTATGGTGTTTTTCCTTTTCTGAACCTCAATATCATACCGTTGCTTATACTCATATCCCATAATTACAACATATTCCCTCTACCAATGGGTGGTGTCCCTTGTCTTAAGTCCTCATTCTTGATTGTTAAAAAATATATTTTGAATTATATCTCATGAAAAATCTCTGCAATAAATTCCCATTAATGGTAGGTCGAAACATTTTCACCATTGGGACCCTAGAAAATCTTCCGCAGAATGGAAAAAATCAAAATTGAAGGCAATATTTCGACCGCATTTCACCTTGCAAATGGCATCATTCAAGGATACCCTTTAAGCATGCTTTTGCTGACTAGTCACTAGTCTCATCACCACATGGATTGAGTACTGCCATTCTCATTTACCAGATACATACCCTCGTTCATATGCAGATGATTTTTCCATTAATGCCAAGTCTCGTCAGAAAAAGGATCTCAGTGTTCAACTCACACAATGCATCAGAATATATCAGAATACAGCTGAATTTCTATCATGACGCGCCCTACGAAGTTTGTTTTTCGCTTGCCGCCGCGCTGGAATGTCTCTACCGGCACAAGGACAGGAACCACCGAACAGCCATCGCATGGGAAGACACTACAGTGTATCACAATAGGAAAATGATTTTCACCATGAATATCCATGAATAATCCATAAATCTGGCTGCACAAAGGCAAACTCGAAACATACCAATGTGCCTTCCTCACCTTGTCACCTTGAGGGTGGCAAAAAAAAACTTGTGGGCCCAACTACATCTCACAACAATCATGTGAGTCTCGCTCCAAAGGCTCTTTCCAAAACGCTTTTCTCAGCCGGCGCCTTGCTCCATGGAGAAACAGCATGGACATGTTGTATACATTTTACACCTGTATCTTCTCAAGAGATGTTGTGCATTTGGACAATTCGAACATAGTCAACCTTGCGGGGTGCTATGGATTTGCTCACCGGCCAGGGAGCACAAGCACACCGGATGAGGAAATTTCTGAAAGCAACGCTGGAAAGCCTTTGCTTTTCACAAGGCATCTGTGCAGTTGCTGCAGAACGAAGGTTCCAAATGATGACCGGCTCTCACCTTTCATGGCTTGATGCCGCAGTTCAAAAAAACGAGGAGCTTGTGCCACCACTCGCTCCCACTCTAAATTTTTTGCACAGGGCGCAGCACAAATCACTCCATCTCGCACTAGCTGGCCATGTTCCTTTTCATAATGTTCCCGCAGGACATCCAAATAATCTCGGATGGCTTTGGCACGCGTCTTCGGGTTCTGGAATGTGTCGTCTGTATAGTACATTGCTTTGGCTGCAGATGGGTGCTCCTTGGCCTCAGCAGCCATGGAAGGATAATGTAGACTGCACAGGGTCAAGATGGGTCAAGGCAAATGAAGGCCATGTAGCTGTTCCATTCCCTCTTAGGTAGATTTGATATGATTTGGTTTGGATGGCCCCGATCTTGGCTTCGCACAATCTTTGAAACATATCAACATATATTTATTTAGCCTTTGAGGATCTCTTAGGTATACTCACAGGCTGTCTGGCAAGAATCTGTTGAAGGCATCTGTGGCTTCGCATCACGCAGCTTTTCCACAGCCCGCAGTGAGGAGAGCTGCACATCCACAACGCATACCTAGAACAACCGAGGCAGCATGAGGCAGCAATCATAATTGATGTTTGGTGAAAAATTAACATTTGGAGGGGCCAACCCTCAAACATCCTTAAGCGGAGTTTTTTCGATGAGACGGAAGTTTTTGGATTTAAGCATGGTTCCAGCGTGTTCCAGCAAATTGTGATGTTTTGAGTGGAATGGGATTCTTTCAATTCCACAGGTGCGGCGCAAACCTTCTCCACATGAAGAAAACATAACTCATATGTCCAGCTTGAAAACTTCTTCCAAAAAAGCGACTCACTGAAACGAAATAAATCCGTAACCAAGCGGCGTAAATTTCCAACCGAACCGTCTATTTTTTTTTGCTGTTTGCAATTTATATATGGATTTTGACATGCTATACATATTTGCCCATGTTCTCCAGAATGGGTGAATACCAGGAGAGCGTGACAAATGTAAGCATGGTAGCTGACCTCGCAAGAAACCCGCCAAACAGTTTAAACGAAAGTCTTTGGCTGAGACAGCAGAACTTACTGAATCGACTATAATTTCTTTAGCCTGGGCTGGCGGAAAAAAAATTACCCAGGCAGCAGGCCCAGGCACACCTGGTCGCTCGACCACAGAAAACTGAGAAGCTGGAACCTCGCATAGAAGAGCATCCGTGTGTGGATCTAATCCGGTCAGAGGACTTGAAGAAGTGGCGATGAAGCGGGTCTCAGAACGGCGGTCCAAGATGACAGCATGGAGCCAGACGCAGCAGTTTGCCGGAAGCTCGCAGCAAACCATTTTCGGCGACCCCACCTTCTTGGTTCCCTTTTCGCTCTTCTGAACTGTGCCACGGTAGGCTGCTTGAATGATCGCAATCATGGGTTGATGCAACAGGCTCCGTCGAATCACAACCTGCCATTGCATGCAGTGTCACGAGTGCAAACTGGTATTTTGGGACATGGGCCCGCTCAGAGCTGGTCCAAGAGCTTGCGAAAACAAAGCTGGTGGTAATCCTATTGTGAAAAATATGTCAACTTGAAGTTCCAAGCAGCTAGCTGGTATTGCCGCCGGGACTGTCCATCATCCGTTGCCACTCTCAAGCAGCTCGGCCGGAAGGAAGTGATTGCCTGCAACACTTTGCATTCCAACCCATCATCGGCCACCACCTCTGCACATGCTCTACCCACCGCCTTCTCTGAAAACCCTGCCCACATCGAAAAGCGGGACACGCGCTGCCGGCTGAGCACCAAGCACTGCCGCGCTCTTGCCAACTCTGACACCATCTGATTGTGCTCGTTCAAGTGATGGTTTGGCTTGTCGATATGTGCGGGGCTAATCCAACCTTCTGCCTTTCCTGGGAAATTCGACTGGGGTGGTACGTGCCATGATGTGGATACAATTGGGGGCACACAAGACGAGAAAAACACCATAACGAACGACAAACCCAACTGCACAAGCGCAACTCATTCATTCAAAACTGATGGTTGAAGTGGAAATCTAGGGTCGAACTTCCGCTACGAACAGCTGAATGAAGGGCAACAGTTTCATGATGCGACGGATGCACAAATCCAAGCTGTCTTTGGGAGGTGTCTGGAAGTTCCACAGGCCAGCCTCCTTCAGAAGGGGCTTCACAGTGAGAGGCGCATGCTTCGGAAGGGCTTGCTGATCCTCCTCCTCAATATCATCGAGTGCCACCACCTGTTCCAAGGGGGGCTGCTCCATCTGTTTGCTTGACACCATGTTCTCCAATGATGACAACGTCTTTACCACCTCTGCAGTGGTGCCAGAATTCACATCTCCGTCCTCTTCAGGATGCCACTCAGAGAAATCATCCGTTTCGACTGCGTCAGGAAGAACATCATTTGAAGTCACAAAGGTGCGGCCAACCTTTTCCCACCAAGTACGCAACTCTGTCTGGAGAGTTGCCGCAGGACGACCTACCAACAATGCAGATTGAAGTGTGCATGCTGCATTCAAGGCATCTGTCGCGATCTCGGCTGCCTGGCTGGGCGACACTGGTGTGATGACAGGGTGCTTGGCCGTGTTGCTGTCACACTTGGATGCAGCTGCCGTGGCCATCTTCAAATGTGATTGATGCGTGCTCAGCACGGCATCCCGCACACATGGGACTCCGGCAAAGGGCGACTTCACCCTGGCAAAGTGGAGCTCTGCACATTCCTCCTGATGAGCTCGAGGAATGAATGGCACGCCTTCTGGCCAATGCATGCATCGCATGCATGTTTGAGCACACATCTGGAGCATGTTGTGAGTAGTCTGCGATGACACAAACATACGGTCCCAATGCTTGGACGCATTCGCCTCGGCCTCGCTGACGCACAAAAGAATCCAGTAGTATGCGAAGAAGCTGTTCCACAAGAGCGTCGGGGATGCATTGTTCCACAATCTGGAGCTCAATGACCCACCAGTGACACAGGCAGTGAGGAGTTGATACCTGGTTGGTGGATTCAACATGTTTCAAACGCTGGAAAAAAATCAGTGCGGATTTCTATTCCCAATATATGGAAAGATAAAAAATGTTCCAAAGCACCAAGCAGATACAAATGAATCCCGATGCTATCCCAAGATGGGCACTGCAGATTGCCTAGATAGCCTGGATTGAAAACTCTGGCGGCTTCCACGTCTGACTGCCAGTCTCGCCCCGTAAAAGATGACTGCGGCATACCACCCAAATAGAGAGGTGCAAAATCAACCTGATAAGCCAAAACATGGAAATACAGAGGAAGCCAATGGGATTACCTGAATATACCTGGAGGTTGGTAAAATGTCCAGATATGTCCAGCATCTACTGATCATGAAAAATGCCAAAATTTGGCAAAGGGAAACATTGGAAAACCCTTGCAATCTGCTAGGACGAGGTGCCCAGAAAGATCCTAGCTGAATCTTCCGGATATGAGTTCTGCCTGCACGGGCAATTGCCTTTTGCACATGGCCTGCATCCACTGTCACAAACAGCAAGTGCTTGCCGTAGGTCAACTGCCGAAAGGGCCAGAAAGGCATGGATGTCCGTGAATGAAAAGAGCATAGTTGCCAGAATGGATGCGATGCAGCATCGGCGGCCAGCTGGGTCGCAGCAACGCCCATGCAGAAGGCTGTGACCTTCGAGTGATTCATGTGCGCATCATGCGCCAGGACCAGTGGTCCGTGTCCATGGTTGGCCTTCCGGCAAGCATCAAGCAAATCTCCAATGTGCTGAAAATGACTGGTGGCATTGGTCTGCTTGTACTTTCTGGGCAACATTTGGCAATCCCAGCAAGGGCCTCTGCTGACAAGGTTTTTGACACATGCACTGAAGCACAGATCGGCCAAGTTGTCAGCAGATGGTGGGACTCTGTGCTCTGCCAGTGGCAGCCAGGAGAAATCTGGATGGGCCCCACCGACAAGCCACGGCTCCCCAAGGCCATAAAGCACCTCAGGCGGCATATACGGGCAGTTCGAGAATCAGCATTGCCCAAGTGGATCCACACATATCGGGAATAAACTGATGCCAGCCGCGAACAACGGGCAAACATATGGAGCAAGCAAAATGTAGAAATTACAGCCGACACACCACCAGCCAACCAACCAATGAACCAACAAACCAACAACAACAAGATCAACAGGCCATGAAATCAACAGACCATAGCAGACCAACAAACCAACAAACAAGACAAAGCAAAATAACAAACAAGACCCACGGAGTTAGGGTCACCGGCGTCAGCCCAACAGTGGATAACTTCAACCACATCGGTGTATCGCGGAGCCAATCCATCAAACGACGAAAACTACTGAAGACCGAGCTGCTTCAAATGTCTTGCTGTACACCGTCTCATCCACAGCAATCATGTAGGTTTGCTGATTCACGGCGTTGAGGTGCCCAATAGCCAGCTTGAAATTTTTGACGAGCACCTCCTGCTCTGCACAGTACGGAGTTGGGACGATCTCGCTCTTGAGATCTGTCTTGACGGCTTTGAGGTTGAGGCCGAAGATCTCCCGGACAGCTCCTTGGTTGACAGCCTGGCCCAATGACCATGCCACTTGGGCCAAGGTGTCCTGATTGCCTTGCATGGTCGCAGTCGCATTCACTCGTTTGCAACCTCTGCGTTCTTTGTCGGCCTTCTCAACCGCTGCTGACAGCAGGAATTCAAGGACACCTTGCCCTGACAGGGCACCATTGGCAACCAGCTTGGCTAATTTCATGGATTGAGGGCTGGTCTGGTTTTGTCCTGGGTTTCTTTGCCCACCAGACTCGCTGGAGAGAATGCACTTGGCAAAGTCCAATACCATTTGCCTCTGTTCGGGAGTCTTAACGAGGACAGCGGGATTGTAGCCTGGAGACACCCACGAGATTCTAGTATCTATAAAATCTTGCAATGGCTGGGTACGATTGCCTGCAGGGATGGAAAGAAAAAGTTGCCGGCATTTGCTCAACAGATCTTTGAAGCACATAGACTCGAGCTGGGTCAAGTCCAACCTCAGCACCTGGCACCAATCAGAAGCCTGCATGTTTGCAACCATCTTCGTAGCATCTGCATCTCTACCCTGCAGCCGCATGTGCATGAGGCCCACAAGTTCCTGAAGAGCACAAGGTATTAGCACTCATGTTGATCCCCTGCAAATCATTTACGATCATTCAATCCATGTGCCTGCTAGAGCTACCCACACAAGAGAAGTGATTACAACACAGGCATTGGTACAGAAGCAAATTAAATGCTCAGGCATGCCCAAGTTGAATAATTTGTCATTATATACATGTAAGCTCTACCGAAATCTTTCGAACTGACCGATTCCTGAAAAAAAAACAGACTGATTAACGAGCCAAGAATCGGCTCTATGCACCCAAGATGCCAGTGATCGAACCAACTCTTGCTTCCGGCTGTGGGCCTCACACGTTCTGCACACCGTCTTCCCAGCTGGAACAAGGGAACGGTCTTCCTGACATTTCTTTGATTGCATCCTCACATGCCCCTGTGCGTCTACAAAGAAATGCACCTTGTGAACAGCGCACTTGATGGTTGCCATATGACCATTTTGGATATGCATCATGACTGAAGCCTTCAGGTGCTGCAACCCAGAGCCAGGGTCCATGAGGCCAATCCCTTCACATACACGGAGCGGTGCATCTTCTTCCTGTGGCGGCAGCCCCTCTGCAGCCCGCCTGTGCCGGGAATCCTCCTGCTCGTGCCTCTCGATGTACCAAGGGGACCCGGTCCTGTGAGCATTGAAAGTCACACCACACAGTCGGCAAGACACTGGAACTTGACCGTCCAATGAATGGATGATGTATTGTCCAGGTCGCTTCTGGGAGATCCACTCCGTGAGATTTGGACGTTGATCCGCCCTGGAAGGCCTGCCAGCACGAGGACGAGGAGCTGAAGATGGAAAGAGTTGCCGGGGCTCTAATGCCATGTCTTGGTCATCGTCACTGACCAGAACAATTTCCCCATCAGTCATAACCGATGGGCCAGCAGCATAAGCGGCACATGACAACTTGAAATCAATGCAAAGTTGAGCGCAACGCTCGCAACGGCTAACTTGAGCTCCAGCTAAGCTCGCCAAAAAATCTTGCCAATGGCCCGCCTCAAAGCTGCCACGGTGCACCACCTGAAAATGTTTGTTATAATCCAGCCCGGCTTGGTCTGCAACGACTTTGCCTTCCTTGGCTCTTTCAGACAGCCATTTTTTGCTGTTAGGAGCTGTGCGCCGGCTTTTGCAGGTGACAGGTGAAGGTGTGAGAGGGCTCAACTCACGTTTGACCACTTCAATGGTGGAGCGAGGCTTAGCTGGTGTTGAAAGTGGCTCAGATTTGACTTTTCCACGGTTCTTGGAGCTGGACCACCACGAGGCCGGCGCTTGCACATCACAGGCATCAGTCGACGCCTCGTCACTGTCTACTTCTGGCTCTGGACCATGTGATATCATCAAGTCATCCTGCCCTGCATGTGAAGATGGGTCCCGGGGATATGCCTCCGATGTAGAACACCAAGCACAGCTCCCGGAGGCATCTTGGGAATGATCATCTGGTAGCCTGAAGCTATACCTGAGCAGGACATGGGACAATTTCTCTGCATATGCAAGGAATGACATTCCGTCCTAGCACAGAGACAATAAAACAATTCAATGTAAGCATATGATAGCATATGCATGCGATACATGATATGCAATGCGAGGCAGTTACCGGCAGCAAGTATATCATCCACCGAAGGGCCAGAAAATGTTGCTACACATAGAACACCATAGAACACGCCAGGAGACACTGCACCGCGAGACTCGGGAAAATATGCCCCGCGCTGTGTCATGATCTGCACCAAGTCAGCACCATCTTTGAGGACAGCCACAAGGCTTTGATCCAAATGGGCGTTATCTGCGACATGTGGATCAAAATGGAGGAGATGTGGCGAGTTGGCACCGCGAACTGCAACAGACCACTTCCCATCCAATGTAATCATCGCAGCCAAACGAGGTCTGTCTGGTGAGTTCTGGCATTGCGAATCTATGAATTTCGCCACACCATCCATACTTACAAATTCTTGGCCACACTGGTCCACAGTGGATAGGAGCTGGACCACCGGCATCATCTCATTGAACCTGCCCAAGTCCAGGCTGGCAACCCGATGCTTGGCTTCATTGATACAGACATGCCCATCACTTGGTATACCTAGTTCAGCTTCCTCAAGCATGCTCACCTCTCGGTTCCAAACATCAGCGGCTGCTGTTCCTCGATGGAACACGGATTTGCACCAGGACCCATCGGTGTCCCACCAGCGCCCACCCAAATGATCGGCAGCTGCAACTGCACAGTGAAAGAAACATCCACGACGTCCATGCGACCCACGGTTCCACTCATCAGAATTCTGGTTCATTGGATAGAATACCACGCGAGGCAACCTGATAGCTGGAGTGAGCTAGATTCCATGTGGACACAAGAGATGGAGACATGCAGGGACATTCATATAGCACCAACCACAGGCTCATGAAGAACATTGCAAAAATATTGGAAATCTGAGCAACGCTTCGTCACTGCGGCAACCGAACGACTTCAAAGAGCTGGCTTCTGCGCCGCCTGGATGGAATATTCGTTACGTAAGGTTAGACGCAGCTGTAGCTGCCCTCTCGCAGCGTCAAAGAGATTGAAAGAACATGAAAATACATGAAACTACTACTGGCTATGTTCGATCATCTTCGCATGCAAGCACGATCAATCACACATCCCTGGCAGTTCGCATACAATCACATCCCCGGAATAAAAAATGATAAAAATCTGTTGATTTGCCCGTTCATCACCACCGTAGCGCCTGAATCTCCATTCATGGCAACTTTCCCCAGTCCTGACGACAGTGCCCGAAACTGGCCAAGATGCAGGTGCATGCATGATGGAGAAATGCGGGCAACAACTGGACAACCCATCAATCTCCCTCTTGGCAGATCTGGGGAGCCAAGAAGGATGTTGCTGTACTTCAGCCCTGTCTGTCGACATGGTTATTGAATCTTATTCTGTAGTTCTCCTTAGTGGTTCTCATTATGTTTTCTTGCCACATGCTAGAGTTGTTTCTCACATCCGTGCGTCCTGTCTCTTTCATCACTGGGTACACCACATCCTTGTCCATGTGACTGCGGTTTGGGGCCTCCACACCCAACATCTGCATGGTTCTAATGAATAAACGGTGCAGACATTTAATCGGGATTTGCTGTGATGCAACCTGTATACGTTACATTACATGACTCCGTTGCTCTGTATGGCTTAGCTTGGCCTCTGCTGCTGCAGCGTCTCGCACATCAACCATCACTGGGTCCACCGCATCCTCGTCCATGTGACTGCAGTTTGGGGCCTCCAGACCGGACATTTGCATGGTTCTAGTGAATAAACGGCGCAGGCATTTATAATCAGGGTTTGCTGTGATGCAACCCGTGTACATAACATTACATGACCCCGGTGCTCTGTTGTAGGGGCTTGGCCTCTGCTGCGGGAGCATCTCGCACATCAACTGTCACTTGCTCCACCGCATCCTCGTCCATGTGACTGCAGTTTGGGGCCTCCAGACCGGACATTTGCGTGGCTCTCGTGTATAAATTGTGCAAACATTTAATCAGGATTTGCTGTGATGCAACCCGTATATACCCGTATACATAACATTACATGACCCCGGTTCTCTGTAGGGGTTAGCTTGGCCTCTGCTGCTGGAGCATCTCGCACATCAACCGTCACTTGGTCGACCGCATCCTTGTCCATGTGATTGCGGCTTGGGGCCTCCAAACCCAACAATTGCGTGGCTCTCGTGTATAAACTGTGCAAACATTTAATCAGGATTTGCTGCGATGCAACCCGTATACATAACATTACATGATATTACATGACCCCTGTAGGGGTTAGCTTGGCCTCTGCTGCTGGAGCATCTCGCACATCAACCGTCACTTGGTCCACCGCATCCTGGCCCATGCAACTG